TTCTTATTGTAGGATCATCCAAAACAACGACTCTATTGAGAATATAGACGAAGAAACAGTCATTGTTTGTGGAAGCTTATTATGGAGAGAAGATAAAGAAGAACTGAAACAGAAAACAACACAATATGATGAACTTTTAAGATGTTGATAGTTGCTGATTTTCAGATCATTCATTAATCATATATAAATATCCACAAAGATAATTGATCACTTTTAGGTTTGTTTTCGTTCGATTTACTTCTTTATCTTCCCAGGATATTATGTAAATCGAGAGAAACACACGGCTGAAGCTCCCTACATCCAAGCAATATTTTTAAAATTAGACCGGATTGGTGGTTGGACCGACTTAAACTCTAGAATGTATGTTTTGCTTTTGCTTTTGCTTTTGGAATCTTAGGATAGTAATTTATTTGTTTTTTCTTCATTCATCAGTCTTAGGCCTCTAATTTTGGTATACATGTTGATTTAACAATCTCACAAGTATGTGAACAACAAATATCATTATCCATATCTTACTGCAACGAAAACATTACAAGGGACACAAAAGCAAATATAACAATACGATTATTAAGTAGAATTTGATTGGCCTTCAAAATAAAAATTTAAAAAAATATAGCATTTTGTATATCATTTTATATTGCCAAACAAGGTTGATTTGGTTCTAGAGCAAATGTTCTCTATGGACTATGGTGCAACATAAATATGTGTTAATCATTACTCAAATTCTTTTGGAATAAAAAGAGGAAAATGCTTTATATTTTATGGGCTTATATTAATGTCAAATGAATGCAACAACAAGAAAACAAATGGATTAACTCTAGAATAGAATCCATTTAATTATATGATGATGTTAAACAGAAAAATATGTTTTAAAAAAAAGTGTACCTCAGTCAGCACTTCAAAAAGTGTTTCCACAAAGAGAGTGCATGTTTATATATGATATAGATGAGGATGATGATATATTAAACTGACCAAAAATCTTTGTGAAGTGGAACATGTATTTTTTCTCCTCTTCCTCTTGTTCAATACTTTCCATGATCATCCTCTCTAATATCCACAATGAGAACAGCATGGTATAAGGATTGTTCATATATTGATAAATATTATGTATGTTCAAAGACATTAACTTTGACAAAACTGCACTAACATAGCCCCAAAAATCATAGTAAAATATCATTAAAGTCTATATGAACTTAAACTGTAAAAAATAACAGAATTACAATTTCAAAACATGAAAATATGAGCAATTGCTGTACCATTCATCCCCAGTATCTTTCAGATTGTTGTTAATTGTTGTTGATTAAAAATCTAAGAACCAAGCTTTTGAAAAATTGTGGTTTGGACGAGAATGGTTTTGTGGGACAACTTGGAAGCTTACAATCGAGATATACTTCATCTTTCCTTTGCAAGACTTTCTTTAAGCGACATTAATTTGCAGTCTATATTTTTCTTATTTGAAACAAAGCATACTTAAAATGAATTGCATTCAGCTGTTTATACTATTTGTCCGAGAGTTTTTTTTATTATTATCAGAATTTTAACATCCAGTTCACGAGGTTTCTCAAACGAACTTATTTCAGGTTTCACAAACGAACTTAGACTAAAATCGTTTGCTAAGTCAGATCTGAATGGCCACCTAACATGTTTAACTCTTTCTTGGAACCGTTTCTAACAATTATATAAAAACAAATATTTGATATTAATGACGGTAACCATTACAAGACCTCTGACACTAGAATCATTCCCTATTATAGAATCGCTCCCTATTATAAATAGAGATCTCACATTTTGGACCAACTCTGAAAATGAGCATAGAGAGGAATCAGCGATATATTATTGAAAGACAGAGTTCATACCAAGTATCTTTAACTCAATTGGGATTGTATCAATGACAAAACCTAAAGATCACATGACTGAGTGAGGCTTGGTATGGGACCATGTAAAATGCTCTAGTCCCAAGATTGGAGGATGTATGGGTCCTAAAATCTCTTAGTTATTGAAAAGATAAAAAAAAAAAAAGTTCATGATGGTCTGTTGCCGATAACTTCATTAAAAAAATAGCAAAATGAGTTCACAATTTTTAGAAGAGAAAGCATACAACATCGGGACTCTTATAACATGACTCTTTGCTCTGCCCTTTGTTATCGTTATTGATCTCCATTGATCTCGTCACCCAAGCTAGCTAGTCGTTGATCGATATCCTGAAGATATTTTCTTTCGTACGTGTTTAATTATAACTTTCGCTCATCATTAGCTGATATAAGAGAAAACACATTCCTGTGAAAACAAGACAGCACCAAAGCGCATCTAAAAACCTCCTGCAACCGAAATATTATCATCATTCACCAACTTCAGTTGTTTAGTTGGTGATAATCTTTAGAGATGAGATGCAAAGCTTTTTCAGGCCGTATTTGCACACAAACGACCGCAGCCTCGGTTTTTGTTCGGGTGATCTATGGTCTAGTTCTTTGGCTCAGTAATCTCCACCTTCGTAGCGGTATTAATTACAGGATCTTTTGGTCATTATGAGATTTTTGTGGTCAATAGCAATACTGACCTTTGCAGATATTTTTTTCGTGGCAAATAATAGTCTTTTTAAAAACGATTTTGCGGTAAATAGTAATTTTGTTTTCATGTTTTGATTAATTATTATAGTTATCAAAGTACACTTCTTTTGGAATTTGATTTTTAGTTTTAGTATTTTATGTTTTCATGTTTTGATTAGTATAAGTATACTGATTTTGAAATTTGTTCAAGTAATGGTCCAAGTACATACAAGTCTAAAATACGTTATTGGACAAGGGCAATAGATTAGGTTACTTAAGGACTAAAATGTTTCCAGATAAAAAATATGTGCACAGGAAGCTCAAAAAGTTGAAGACTTCAAGATTAAAAGTGTACTCAGGTGCTGAATCGTCGGATAACATTATGATTTAACTCAAGAAGAAGAAGAACAAATTAGAAGAAGATGAAGCCGTTTATGTTTAGGATAAAAAAAAAAATATATGTAGTATCTCATACAAATGGTTCTTGTTTAGCCTGAACTCACGAACCAAGATCTCATCCATAAACGTCCTCACCTTTGCTTGGTAGAGTTTTGGCTCCAGATTTGGTGAGGACACATCTTTGGCCCAAAATGTTATATAAAACAGAAAACCTTGTACTCCCAGTACACTTGCACTCACATACTTGACAAACTCAAGATTTGTTCCCTACGAGAAGCAAAAGTAGGATTAAGAAAAGAAGAACCACTAAAATAGAAAGCAGAGAGAAATACGGAAGATCAAAGCTCTCACAGATTCTTCGTTCTCTTCTTCGATGGCAGTCTCTATGAGCAGTTTCATGAATTCCTTATTGCTAACTTCATCATGGAAACGTGTTGCATATTCGAATCTGAGGGCAGGAAAGTATTAGTCCAAATTATCCCAGCACACATTGTAACCCTAAAACCATAAAAAGAGGATGCATGTAAACACATGAGATATACAATACATAAACACTAAATGAAAAAGAATAGATATTACCTCGCTCTTTTCATACTGCTCCTCATACATCTTTCGCTGTCTCACATATTCTGGATCTTTCGACTCTCCTATGCGGAGAATTCGTAATTCTGAATAGACCTCTGCTTCCGGTTCCGTACCTGTTCTAGGCATCTTTAGCGGAGGAGAAAACTCCATCGAATCTCCAGACTTGGTGAAATCGGCATCAGCGGTCTTTGTTGGAACCCTAGACAGATTCTCTCGTGTAGCTTTTTTTTTTTTCCAGGAAGATCCAAAAAGACGAGAGAAAGTTGTGATGTTGTCAGGCCGTATTGGCACACAACCTTGCCTATATCCGCAGCCTCGGTTTTTGTTTAGGTGATCTATGGTCTGGTTCTTTGCGTCCCGTACTTGGATGCATCACGCTGTGATTAGTGTAATGACTCACTTACATGCACCGTCGTGACGATATTACAGGATCTTTTTGGTCATTATGAAAATGTTGGTGGTGACTCTATGGGACCTTTCTGGTCAATAGGGAACTTTGGTGGTCAATATGAGATCTTTGTGGCAATTAGTAATTTTATCTTTTAAACTTTTGTGGTAATTTTTAACATTTAACCAAAAAAACAATTGCGGTAAATAGTTGTTATGTTTTGTGTTTTTATTAGTATAGTTATCAAAGTACACTTATCATAAAATTTGGTTTTACTTTTTTTAGATGAAAACACTTAATAGACCATATTATGATATGGTTCACTGCTAATTTCAATTCAGATTCTGCATTCTTTTGGTTTATATGGATAAAATACCATTATATAAAATTCTATAACAATTATCTATATATCAAAATTAAAGAGAAGTATAAATTCAATTCAAGCTGATTTTATTAATTATCGATACCCTCATGTTACGAAAATAGGTACTCACATAATCTACCCCCTAAAAACTGAGATAGACTAGCTTAGAAAATATGTGTAGATGATCTATTTTTTCTGTAGTTTCATCTTGTTCTTAAAAAGCATACGTACTTGCACTACGTACGAAACTTGATGGTATTTTTGTTTGTTTAGTTTTTAATTTAATTTAATAATCAAACCTATAACGCTCCAACGTGCTTAAGAATTGGGACGAGGTTGACAAAAAAAAAAAAAAAAAAAAGAATTGGGACGATTGAGATGAAGATTCATGACTTGACTGTCTCCACCTACGAGCTGACCTCCTATGAACATGATTTTAAACGAACAAGAGATAACTCTAAAAGAGAATCAAATTAAGATGAAGATGATGTTAAACAAACAAGAGATAACAAAGTGTACCTCAGTGAGGCCGATCAGAAATTTTTTATAGATGAGGACATATAATATTAGAAATATGGGAAAAACTTATAAATAGGACACCTTTTTTTTTCTACCACTACTATGAACATGATGTTAAACAAACAAGAGATAACTTTAAAAAAGAATGAAATTAAGATGAAGATAGATGTTAAACAAACAAGAGATAACAAAGTGTACCTCAGTCATCAGTTAATAGTACATCATATTGTGTTGGCCTTAGCTTGAATTCGACAACATGGAACTCACCACGAAACTTGCGCACCAATGTCCAGTATAGTTTTGGCTCAGGATCTGATGACGAAAGATCTCTTGCCCAAAGTGTTATGTAGAAACAAAAACCTTGTGCACCTCTTACATTTGCACACACATACTTGACAAACTCTAGATTTGTTCCCTGCAAGAAAAGAAGAGTAGAATTAGAAACAGAGGAAGCCAATTAATCAGATTGATGAGGGAAGAGCAAGCTATATCTCTGGGACATACATTGTCTTCGTTTTCTGCGTCGATGGCTGCCTTTATGAGCAGTTTCATCAATTCGTCTTTGCTAAGTTCCGGATCGAATTTGAGTCCCCATTCGAATTTGGCTGGAGCGAAGCAGTAGTCATATTTATCCAAATCCAGATCGTAAAACTAAAAACCATACATAACACACAGGATAGAGAGATACAGATTAAACACCAAACACATGAAGGGAATTCTATACTATACATAAACCCTAAATCAAAAGGGAAATTACTTACGTCGTTCTTTTCACATTCCTCCAAAAACATATCTCGCTGTCTCCAATATTCCGGATCCTCCCAATCCACTTTGCGGAAAGTTCGTAGTGGTGGAAGGACCTCTTTCTCCGCCTTTTGATCTGTCTTCGCCTTCTTCAGCGGCGGAGATAACATCGTCGAATCTGTGATTTCGGCATCAGCGGCGGAGGAGTTAGCCCTAGACATATCCTTTCGATTAGCTTTTTTTTCTTCCCAGAGAACGAAGAGTCTGTAAACCACAGGGTGTTAAAATAAATTAACATAAAATAAAAAGGGATAATTATTAAAAAAAAATCCAAAAATTCTGAATTAATAAAAACAAAACAAAAAAACTAATTTACAAAAAGTGTAAATAAGTCAGAATAACCATACTTTAATTATCTTAACATAAAATAAAAAGGGATAATTATTAAAAAAAATCCAAAAGTTTTTTGTTTTCACTTTAAAGAGAAAATTATATAGAACTTTATTAAATTTAATGAAAAAAATTATTCAAACAAAAAAACGTTTTTATAATAAATGCTTTGTTTCTTAAATTGAGAAAAAACATCGTCAATCATATTTTTCTTCAAGACTTCAATGATAGAGATTTTGATGGTGATATATATACGCTACAGAGCGTAGATCTTAAGGCAAACGACATGGTGAGACTCATGGTACGTCGCTTGTTCTTAATACATTCTACTTGCATTACATGGTGAGACTCATGGTAATGTTTAGGTTACAGTATAAGACATACACAATGACAACCGCTTCTTCTATTTGCTGTTTCAGATTCTTTTATGAGCTTGTTGCCTCCATCAGTATAACATGACCAGAGGCTTAAAATTAAACAGCTTTGAATGAAGGAAAAAGGTAATAATGAACCAAAAAAAATACTGAATTTAAGCAACCTGAATTTTATTTAGTTGAAGCTTGTTGTATTACTCGTCGTAGTTGCTTTATTTGTTTTTTTTTTTTGTCACAAACACACTTCAACTATCGATTAAATAAATACATTTTCTGTATCATTAAACCAATAAGGAACTGAAGTGCCGATATAAGAGAAGACAGTCTTTCGAGCCCTAGCATTCTTTGCTAGCATATCAGTTTTTATGTTCTTATCTTTTGAACGATGACGCAAGACAAACTCTGGGAAGTCTTGTCGAATTGTTGCGAGCTCGCTTAACTCTGATGAAAAGGCTGGCCATGCTTCTGGGCTAGCTACCATCTTAATCAAATCTGTGGAATCTGTCACAAACAAAGAGCAGTATCCATTCTTCGTCTTCAGACTAGTCATGGCCCATACTAGGCTCCGTAGCTCCATATGTAAGAGGGATATGCCTCGGCAGCTGCCCTGAAGCCCCAGAAGGTCTACCGTACCATCCTGAAGTTCCAGAATCCAGCCGACACCACTAGTTACATCATCTGATTTCCATGATCCATCCACAGAACATATAAATGGTGTTGAAGTCATTAACCCTGGGTCCACAGATTCTGCCAAAATATTGGCCTTAGACCAAGCTACAACTTCTCTATTATCACTATCCATTATCTCTAATGGTGGACGGTCTATTCCATTGAAAAGTTTGTCATTACGAGCCTTCCAAATAAACCACAGAATCCAGGGATAAGCATCAGCTGAATCATTATGGATATTCTGATGTGGCCTTCTCGAGAAAAAATAATCAAAGTTTCCCAACAGATTTTCAGTTGGAAAAATATTTGGCGCTGATGGTAAATTTGAAATGGCCCAGCACTGAAGAGCAGGCGGGCACATGAAAAGTGCATGGTTAATTGTTTCCTCTGAAGACCCGCATCGTGGACAACAAGGATCCACTCGCAAATGTCTATGTGGTAGGCGTTCATTTACTGCTAACGCACCCGAGAGGCGAGAGGGCTTGCCATATGAAATGACGGAGTTTACTTGGCACCTGCACTTTCCAAACATACTCTTTGAGGGAATTAAAAGATGGATTCTGTAGTTGGAAACGTATGTCCTCGTCCAACTTCCAACAAGATACCTCATAACCAGATTTGACTGTGTAATTACCAGATTTAGTGTAATGCCAACAATATCCGTCACTTCTGAACTTAGAAGAGGGTTTTAGACTTAAGATTAACGGTATATCTGGAGGTGCGACAACTGCTTTAAGCAGAGGTATATTCCAGGAGTTGGAATTTGTAATAAGCTTTGAGACTGTCATCGATGGATTAAACGTTGGAGAGATGCTTGTAGCCGGTTTTGCATTAACTCCAGGTAACCAATTGCCAGACCAGACAAGGGTTTCGTGTCCAGAACCTATAGTACGACGAACTCCTTTTTTTTTTTTTGCTAAACTGTAAATATCATTAAAATGAAAGTTATAATTTACAAAAAGCAAACCTAGGATCTGTGCTACCTTGGCAAAAAAGAATAAAAAACAAGGGAGCAACACATTTTGAACTTATAAGAATCTTTTGCCGACCAAATACTTCTCCATCCGTATGAGGGTCGATTAGGCTTTTTTGCATGGAAAGGGTGTGAGTTACGGAAGTACCGTCCTTTAAACACTCTTGAAAAAAGAGAGTTTGGGAACTGATTTAACCGCCAGAGTTGTTTAGACAAAAAAGCCTGATTAAACTCTTCAAACAACTTAAATCCGAGACCTCCATCTTTTTTAGGTAAACATAGTTTTTTCCATGCCACCCAATGCATCCCCCTTGAATGCGGCCCTGAACTCCACCAAAAGTTGGCCACCGCATTTGACACAAATTTTTAGGGAGAAGGAAACATGACATCACAAATGTCGGTATTGCTTGGGCGACGGATTTAATCATAACTTCCTTTCCACCTTTGGATAGTAATTTAGCCGACCAGCCTTTTACACGATTATTTAGCCTATCACGAACATATGTAAAAATCTCCGCTTTTGATCCTTGTAGTTGCTCTGGTATACCCAGGTATTTTCCTGTTCCTCCATCTTTGGAGATTCCTAAAAGTTGTTTAACTTCTGCCCGAACACTATCGGAGATACGCTTACCAAATGTAATTGCAGACTTCTCAAAATTAATCCTCTGGCCTGATGCATTTCCGTACAAGGTAAGAATACGAAGAATCTCGTCACATTATTCTTTTGAGGCTTTACAAAAGAAAAGACTGTCGTCCGCAAACAAAAGATGCGAGATAGCCGGACTTGCCTGAGCCACTTTAAGTCCAGTTATTCGATTTATCTCCTCAGCTACTCTGATATTGGAAATCAGTACTTCCGTAAACAGGATGAATAATTATGGTGATAACGGGTCCCCTTGTCTTAAGCCTCTAGATGGAAAGATATTACCTTTCGGGGTGCCATTGATCAGGACCCTATAAGACACAAAATTCACACATCTCATAATCCATGAGATCCATGAATCCGCGAAAGCCATTTTTGTCATGAGAGCCTCCAAAAAATTCCATTCAACTCGATCATAAGATTTACTCATGTCAGTCTTGATCGTAAACTCTGTTTTATCTGATATTACTCTCCCTGCTACGAATGCAGATTGAGTCTCAGAGACCAAGGAGGGAAGGATTCGTTTTAGTCTTTGACAAAGCACTTTTGATATAATTTTATAGCACACATTACAAAGACTAATTGGACGAAATTCCTTCATTTCTCTGGAACGTTCCGTTTTTGGAATCAGACAGATATTTACTTCATTGATTCTAGGGTCAATAGTTCCCGACCGCAGAAAGTCTTGGACCATATCTACCACTTGAGGGCCAATAATGTTCCAGAACTTCTGATAAAAAAGAACTGACATACCATCTGGTCCTGGGGCCTTTTCAGGATTTATCATAAACAGAGCTTCCTTTACCTCCGACGGAGATATGTCCCTAGTCAGTAGGTCATTTATCTCTGGAGTCATTTTCCTAGGCAAATGCTCAAGGGAAAATTCAAGATCAGAGACGTTCGAGGAGGCGAACACATCTTGGAAGTATGAAATAGCTTTATGTTCTATTTCTGCTTCCTTTTCTGTCCAAATGCCAGTGGCGGTAAGAATCCCTACAATCCGATTACGAGCCCTCCATTGCCTCGTCGTTGCATGATAGAATTTTGTATTCTGATCACCCTCCTGATACCAAAGCGTTCTGCTTCAAGCTTTATTTGCACAAAACTAGTCATGCTTCAAGCAATAACTATGCATCGATAATTTCCTAAACATATCCATCATATCACAAGAACATAATGTAAACCACTCATCTGTCAGTGCCGGACCGATCAATTTGGATGCTCGCGTCTAATTTTTTAAAATATGTCCTTTTATATTTTTTTTCAAAATTAAAATAATAAAAAATGAAATAAAAATTCATAAAACAATCAAACTCCATAAACGGTTTATAAGAAAAGAAAAAAATCCAATAAAACATATAGTGTTTTGCTGAAAGATAGATCTTCTTGCATTTTTTTCGTGTAAAATTGTTTATTAAACTGTCGTAATCGAATTTTTCAAATAGCTATCTCAATTGATAATAAGCTAACCCATTTTGTTGTTTCGGTGACAAAGATAACTAAAGATACCCTGCTACAGCGAACTGAAGAATGTAACGGACCATAGATGGACGTGGATTCACTTGGGGGGGGGTGTGATGGGCGAAGCCCCCCACGGTACGGTTTCCGTATTGGGCTAGATTTATGTTTTCTTTTATCTAGTGAGTTTGGAAGTCGGGTTTTTGGGACTATAAATACAATACATCTTATGGATCAAAAGTTTGTTTATAAAGGGGCATAGATAAAAAATATGCCCATTTATAATAGATGCCACAAAAAATATGCCCCTTTTAGAATGGATGCCTGCGGCAGTCGCCACCTTCACCTGCCCTCGAGGCCGGGCATACATTAAGTATTCATTGTTAAGTTGATCATCATCAAGATCTCATGCCCAGTTGAATTTGACGGAGCAAAGTCGTACTCCACATTAATATTCCTGTCCATATCAAACCCCGATATTATAATTATACATAGATGCACATATATAAATACAAGGGAATACGATTAACGACCAAACAATAAATCGGAGGTCATGGAATAATTAATACGTATAAGAGAAAGCACGTTCCTACAAAAACAAGATGACACCAACAGGAGCGCATCTAAAAACCTCTAGTAACCGAAAAATTATCATCAAAACATCTTAGTTGGTGATAACCTTTAGAGACTAAGAGTTGTGATGCAAAAAGCTTTGTCTGGCCAAATTCGCACACAACCTTGTCTATATATAACCGCAGCCTTGGTTTTTGTTCGTGTGATCTATGGTCTGGTTCTTCGCGGCCCGTACTTGGATGCATCACGCTATGAGCCTGTGACTAGTTGAATGACTCACTTACATGCACCGTATTACATGACCTTTTTGATCATTATGAGAATTTTGGTGGTCCATATCGTAACTACGGACCTTTGCAGTCAATATAGGACCTTCTGTTTTAACATGGGATCCCTCGTGAATTGTGATTGTCTATATGACTATATGGGACTTTTCTGGTCAATAGGGGACTTTGGTGGTAGTAATTTTATTTTTTACACTTTAATTTTGTGGTACTTTTTAACATTTAACCACAAAGAAAATTGTGGTAAATAGTATTTATGTTTAATGTTTTCATGTTTTTATTAGTATAGTTATCAAAGTACACTTATCATAAAATTTAGATGAAAAGAGTTAATATAGTTAGTCCATATATGATATGGTTCACTGCTAATTTCAATACAGATTCTGCATTCTTTTAGTTTATATGGATTAAATACCATTATATAAAATTCTTAAAAAAAAAATTATATCAAAATTTAAGAGAAGGATAAATTCAATTCAAGCTGATTTTATTAATTACGATACCCTCATGTTACAAAAATAGGTACACTCTCATAATCTATCCCCTAAAAACTGAGATAGACTTGCTTACAAAGTATGTATAGATGATATTTTTTTTCTTAAGTTTCATCTTATTCTTAAAAAGCATTAGAATAATTAGTACGGTACGTACTTACGCTACGTACGGAAATGGGTTTTTTTGGGTTTAGTTTTTAATTTATTTAAATAATAATCAAACCCATAACGCTCCAACGTGCTTAAGCATTGGGACAAGAGAGCGATTGAGATGGAGACTCATGACTTGATTCGCTCCACCAATGAGCTGACCTCCTATGAACACCACCGGCACGGTAGGGCTGCAGCCAAGCTGAGCCAATGCTTGCTCTATCTCCTTTCCTCTGTTGATCTCGTCGAGCTCGTAGATCGTTGGGTTCACACCAAAGTCGATGAAGAGAGTCTTGATCGTGTGAGACATGCAGCACGAGTTCTTGCTGAATATCACGACAGGCTTCTCGGAGATCATCTTTTGTATCTTCTCCATATTGAGGGTTCTAAAAGAATTTATCTTTTGTGATATTTAGAGTTTTCAACTTAGGGGAAATGATGTGGATTCTTTATATTGGAGTGAGAGATCAGGAGAGTAAATTGGAAAGGTTTTGGAATTTTGGGAACAAGACGACTTAGACGAGAAGTGACTTTGAGTTCTAGTGTTTGATGTGTTAAGATCGACTATAAGGGTTCCTATATATAGCTTCTTCACGAATGCATGTAGACAAATGATAGTGAAGATTCTAGATGCTATTGTCGAATTCTTGGTTCTATCATCTTGTGGCCTTATAATATTATACGTGTCTAGTTTTTAAGACTAACCATTTAATTTTGACCCAAAAAAGACTAACTATCTAATATAATAAAAAATAGAAAAAATGGTTATGTATGTATTTATATATAGAAACACGAAAAGCGAAGTAATAAGATAATAGTAAATGCAAAATCCAAAAGTATTAGAATCTTCAGCTAATAATAGATAAAAAAATATCAATACAAATTCGATGAAAGATAAAAAATTTCAACCAAACCACTTATGCCATATAATTCTTTTTAATTTATAACAAAAAGTTATATTTTTCATAAGAAAAGATTAACATTATGATTTGACATATATGTTTGTAAATTTTATTTATTTTAATGATAATTATTCTAACTCCATAATCAGTTTATTTTTTTGTTTGCTTTAATTGAAGTCAAATGTGTGTATATGTTCTAGAGAAAAACCTTTTTTTTTAATTATCGACTCATACGATAAACCCAATTATTGGACTATACAACTTTTGATGAATGTTTTACCTAACTGTAAATACGTACGATTAATTCTGAATATCTATATATCAAATCTTACTGATTTGAAAAAGGAGCAGTTTCCCACAGTTTTTAAAATAGCAAAAGAATGTTACGATAGTGGGAATATACGTAAGAATTTGGAGTTAGGAGTTCCTCTTGGCTCTTACTGTTTACAGACCAAGGATCAAAAGAGGTTATCAATTCGGAAAGGGACAAAACAGTGTTTAAGTATTCTTCTTTAGAAAAAAAAAAGATAGCAAAATCTTAGCTGTGAAGAATATATGATACGGACGAATCATGTGTTGTCTCTAGAGTACGGCCTTTCATATCTCTTGAGCTGTAATAAAAATACCTGCAATATCACATTGAAAATATGGATATATAGTGTGTTATATCACAGTAAATATATAGTGATAACTACCTACCTTATTAATTCTTGAGCTGCCAAAAAAACAAAATTTGTTACAAATCATTTACCAAAAATAATGCAAAGACTTCTTCTAACAATAATTTAGAGTTTAATAAAAAAAATTAATAAGATAATTATATGTTTTGAAAAAAATAGTGACTAAAAATCTGCCCTTTTTTTGTTTCCTTGATTTTATTTTACTGTTGTGATTATTTTTTTTAGCGGACATTTGCGAAAACTCGAGATCGTGTGATATTATCTCAAGAATTAGAATATTATTCGTATGACCACTTGAGAGAAAAAAAGGCAAACTATGTGGTTCTGTTTTAGCCTTATCTTCATGCATGCAATCGAATCTTGCAATGTCAAGAATCAAGAATCAAACCAAGTTAAGCTTTATTCCCAATTCGATGAATAAGATTTGTGTTAAGTCAAGCTCATGGCCAAGAAGATGGATTTGATTGTGAAACAGGCACGTAGTATCATGAAGGCCCTTTAACAAACAAAAAAAAAGGCACGTAGTATCCCAAAATAAAACAACTGAAATGTAAAGTGATAGTTTTGCTTATTTCTTCTTGAATTTATTTATAAAGGTGGCCCAATTTTGATCTCAAGAGTCGTTATTCTTATATCACAATACAAGGTTATCATCATTCAATGTACGTGATTCACGTACCGACACATATATATGTACGTAATATTCCAATTGCAAAATCACATCTAATTCCGCAACTGGCCCGTACCGTCCTACAACATGGAATATGTATATGTAACATGCAACGAAGTTCCTTACATGGCAGAATACAATTCTTTTCTAACTTTGTTGTTTTAATGGTATGAAACGTCATTTTCTATATCATGAGGTTGAAGTTGAACAATCACTTCCACAGTTTTTGTAGATGGATAGTGAAGAATTTTAATGATTACTATCCCAATTCAATAAATTAAAATTTTCTTTTAATTTATGAAAGATCAGAAATTTATACAATCTGCATCGAATGTATCAAATTTACACAATTTGAAATAAAAAATGTACTTGTAACTAGTTAATTAACAACCACGGGCGCCTAACATACTAGTGACCAAAAAAGATTTTTGCATGTTAGTGAAAGAATTATTTAAAAACATTTATGCATCTATAAAGGTTCCATTATATGGACATTACTAGTTTGAACTACTTCACATAATCGCATAGTTAAGGTTTGATAGATGTTAAAGAAAAGGTTTAAGGGTTGATATTAATTTCCCAATGAATTAAAACCAGATGAATTCTAGAGTAACTATTTTTCGCCTTACAAAAAAAAAAATTTAAGTCCCAAATCCCAATGTCTATATGCAAATTGAAAGTTATTGCAATTTTCAATCATGAAACAAATGTTAAACTATGCGTACCATCTACTATATGATGTTATTATCTATAGTTGATTAAATATTTACCATTAAATAACAGCTAAAGCATCTATGATTATTTAAGATATCCGATCCTCATTAGTAATTTGTCATATTGCACCAACTCGTTATCACTCTACTCCAATTTTTTTTTCCACATATATTCATTTTTTGATATGATAAAGCCAAATGCAAAACCGGAATTTTAATTTTATAATACACCTCTGCTTCATAAAAATATTTTATCTGGTGTGTCGTCAGTCGATCCGCATCTTTCTTATGAATATTTACTTAAAAGAAGTGTTGAAGAGCTAACAATGCCGCTATATCTCCTTTCCGGTTATTCTCTAGAAAATAAGTCAGCTTATCCAAACACGTCATCGTTTTAACATAACTAAGAGAAAATCCGTACTAACATGCAGATTTTTTTTTCAAATATTTCAAATTGATATATTTTTGTGTTTTCATTAAAAAAACATAATCATCATTTATATATGTTAATATATATTAAAAAAATTAAGAGTTTATACAAAAAAATTATCAATATTTTAATTAATAATAATTTTTTTTTAATATTTACTTAAATGTTATTTAAGAATCAATTAATAAAAAAATTTTCATTTTTTTGAATAGTTGGAAATTTAATACCAAATTCATTAATTATTTTTTAAAAAAAAATAAAACTTTAAATTAAAAATTGACACATATTATCTCTATATTAATTTAAAATGCTGATGAAGAGAGTTGGTCATCTTTTATATATAAGATATATATATATAATATTATTTATCTCTAAAATATTTCATTATCAATTTATTATTATCCGGTCATAAGTAATATTATATTCTCAATTATTTTTCCTTACACCATTAAAGAATACTTATTTTTCATTGCACAGGTGTACATTTCTTAGATGCATTGCTGCATGTATATGAAAATATGTGAAATATAAACATGGGAAAAGGATAATCCAACGGTTGCTGAGTATTTGTTTGTGTTATAACGGTTACTGATTTTATTAAAAATACACTCATAGATTACACAATATGTATCCGAAAAATCTATCTCTTCCAAAACTTAGATAGACATAGCAATAACTCATACATACTTTCATGTGTAAACTTTTGTTTTGGTCACTTTGAATTAGTATCATCATGATCATTACGTTATTAAAGCCATAAAGCCCCAACGCGCTTAAGCATTGGGACGAGAGAACGATTGAGATGAAGACTCATGACTTGACTGGCTCCACCTACGAGCTGACCTCCTATGAACACCACCGGCACGGTCGGGCTGCAGCCAAGCTGAGCCAATGCTTGCTCTATCTCCTGTCCTCTGTTGATCTCGTCTAGCTCATAGATTGTTGGGTTCACGCCAAAGTCGACGAAAAGGGTCTTGACTGTGTGAGACATGCAGCACGAGTTCTTGCTGAAGATCACTACTGACTTCTCAGAAATCAACTTCTGTAGCTTCTCCATTGGTGTTATGATGTGAAAAAGTGTTTCAAAAGGGATTCTCAGGGGATGAAAGTGTCTATATTTCTTTTGATAGAAATGAGAGATATTAGGGATGAAAATAAGAAAAGCAAGAGAACTTATAGAGATATCTGTTTATGGGTGAAGATGAGAAGTGACTTTAAGTTTCTGTGTTTGATGATGTAAATGGTCTATAAGGGTCCTTTATATATAGCTTTCAAGGGTACGTAAAGCTCATATTATGGGTTTTAAATTTAATGTTGCATATTTCTAAGAGAATCAATCTTTTTAGCACACAAAAAATATCTCAAATAAATAAAGAAATTAAAACCCTTAAGAAAAAAACAAGATAGTGGGAGTATCTGAAAGAATAACTTCGATCAAAATTTCGAAACTATTGAAAGAGATAATGTACAAATTTTCAGATTTAGATAATATCTTCTTTTTTTTTGTCATATTAGTTTTGTTTTTAGTTATCTCTAATTTTGTATAAAAGGCATTGCGTATGCGGATGAATAAAGCATACGCAAACGCAATAAAACTTTTTATATGCCTCTAGTTTCAGGGTATCAGAATTATAATTAAAATTATCAATCCTCAGCCTCTTCTTTGAACTCGCTTTTTCTTCTCTCTTTCTTTGAAATAATTTGTACGATTATTCATCGATGCACTCTTCTGAATCGTGGCCCCCGAGAACATCCGATAGATCTTTTTTTTTTTTTTCGAAATTAAAGAAGGAGACAACTAGTCGAACTATCCAACGTATCAATTTTTACAATCTCACTCCAAGATGAGAAAGAAATTCGCCGTGTTGATGGTTAGATACCTCAACATGTTGAATACTCGAAATGAGACTGATAGACAAATAATGCTATGTTGATCTCTTCGTTGTTACACCAGGATCTTTGGACATATGTTCAGCATCAGTTCTCCGTTTGGAAAAGCAAACGAATTCAAAATCTTAAGACTCAGTGCGCCAATTGCCGATGGAAATTAGGGCTCGACAAACAATATATCTGTGGAAAAAAATTAGTTTCACAAAACATGGCATCACTATACAGTATGCAATACCAATAATAATATATATCGGTCAACATGTTATTGTCCTATAGATAATCAATTTAATTTTTTTTTTTTTGTAAAATCAAAGAAGTTAAAAAAAGAAATCTGAGTTGATTGTATCTTCACGTCAAAATTGTCTAGGGAGTAGGGAGGCAAAACTAGTCGTATGGTGGCAAAATTTGGTATGATTCACATAAGCGATTCTCCTACAAGCCTCCATCTTTTGGCTAGCTATCCATGAAAAACTGGCAACAGGTTCTCGTATAAGGTAATAGGGAATAGTTCAGCCATGTCATGACTTCTTTGCAGTGAAGTGAACGAGACAAGGGAGCACTTATTCTTCGCTTGCCCTTACTCATTTATGATATGGGATTGACTTTGTAATGATCTTTTTAGGTGGTAGAACAAACTCTGATTGTTACATCACCATAAGATCTATATCAAGTAATCTAAGAAGCAAATTGGACTAGCTATTGGCTCGGTGTATGGAGTAAGGAAGGAGAGTAATGGAATACGCCATCACCGGCCTTGCCGTTCTGCTCTTCTCCTCGCTCACTGTTGAAGTATAATCATATCTCGTATAAGATAAAGTTACATGTACATAAGTTAGTTATTACTCCAAGAGTCACGAGTTGTCATTTTCTTAAAGTTGTGTTTTTCAATTAAGAGTCATGTTTGTTTTAAGAGTTATGTTGTTTCAATTTTCATTTTGTTTAAGTAGAGATCGAGTCTGTGTTTGTAACAGAGTGTGATACAATAAAGTTGGTTACATTCATACTCTGTTTTTCTCTTTTCTTCATAACCTTAAAACACCAAGCACAAAAACACCAACATGGTATCAGAGACCTACTGATTCTGAAGGCCAATTCAAGTACAAAGTTGAAGCCAAAAAAAAAAAAAAACAAAGAGTATTGGAGACGATGTCACATATTCTGACTCCGATCTTCAATGGTGAGAATTATGGGTTTTGGCGCATCAAGATGAAAACAATTTTTTAGACAAAGAAACTGTGGGAAATTGTTAAAGGAGGAGTTCAAAATCCACCCGCACAAGGAGATCATAGCTCCAAAGTCGTGCAACAAAAGACTCTGTGTGATGAAGCATCTTTAAAGAATTTGACGGCATTGCAAATTCTTCAAAGTGCTGTCTCGGATTAAATATTTCCGAGAATCGCCCCTGCATAAAGCGCAAGAGAAACTTGGAACGCTTTGAAATTGGAATTCCAAGGATCACTACAAGTAAGGATGATAAAACTTCAGTCTCTTAGAAGGGAGTATGAGAATTTGAAGATGAATGAAAGTGACAGTATCAACACTTTCACGACAAAGTTGATTGAGATGGGAAATCAACTTAGAGTTCATGGATAAGAGAAATCAGACTATCAAATAGTCCAAAAATTCTGATTTCACTTCCCTAAAGGTTTGATAGTATTGTAGCATGTTGGAACAAACTAAAGATTTAACCATGCTATCAGTTACAGACTTGATGGGCACGTTGAAAGCACACGAGAAGCGTGCATCACTTCTTGAAGAACAATCAACGGAAGGAGCATTCTATGGAGAAAACAAACGTGAAGAAAAAAAGCCGAGAAATATTGTGGCGTTTGCAAACGTAAGAATCACAACGAGAGTAATTGTTGGAATAAGGAGAACAAATGGGTTCTTTCGCAAAAAGTGGCGAACAATGAGAGAAAAATGTTTCGTATGTAACAAAACGGGATATTTAGCAAAAAACTTCAAGCTTAGAAAAGCCGAGGGAGCGGATTTAAGTCTAAAAGAAACATATGATGAGGGTCATATGATGTTTAGTGTGGTTGAAGAAGAAGTATCAGTAAAAGTAAATGATGAAACATGGTTAGTTACGTTGACAGCGGGTGCACTAACCATATGACCAAGGAAGTTAAATACTTCATCACTTTTGATGAAAGTATAAAGGTTCCGATCAAAGTGGGAATGGTCAACGTGTAATGATGGCAGAAAAAGGAAACATCAAAGTGATGACAAGCCAAAGGAGAGAAGATTATCAAAGAGGAGTTTCTAGTGCCGGGTTTAGCAGGAAATCTATTGAGTGTCTCAAATGATATCAAAAGGATACAGAGTCCTATTTGAAGACAATAAATGCCTCATCAACGACCTTCAAGGGAGAAGGATTCTGAACATTAAGATGAAGCATAAGAGTTTTCCATTTAGATAGAGTAACTCCGACGCAAGTGCCTTGAAGAAGAACCAAGGATGAAGCTTGAAGTAAAACAGAAATATGATTAAGGGGGAGTGTTGAAGTATAGTCATATCTCTTATAAGATAAAATTACATTTACATAAGTTAGTTATTACTCCAAGAGTCATGAGTTGTCATTTTCTTAAAGTTGTGTTTTTTCAATTAAAAGTCATGTTTGTTTTAAGAGTCATGTTGTTTCAAAACAATGTTTCATTTTGTATAAGTAGAGATGGAGTCTGTTTGTCTGTATTTGTAATACAAGTCAGAGTGTAATACAATAAAGTTGATTACATTCATACTCTGTTTTTTCTCTTTTCTTCATAACAGTAAAACACCAAACACAAAAACACCAACACTCACGACATTGACAAGCAACTTCTCTCTCTTCCCAAGCCAAGAAGATGCAAACATTGGCACGCTCAGCCGGTGGACGAATGTTTCTCGTCTTTCTGGTCTATAGAGCTCAACACTGGCTTTGTTTTTGAGATTCTTTCTAAAGCTCTGTTTCTTCTTAGTATTATGCATTAATCAACTTTTTGAACTTTTCTCAAACATTTTGTAGGTATTTTTTTATTGATTAATAAATTTTACATTTTAACAAGAAAGTAATTTTGTTCATGTATATTTACTTTATTCATTCACATTAATGTTTGCCATGTACATATATGGTTTCAACTTTTCATATGAACGTGTATAATCATATTCATATATAACAACAGTATGAGCTATTTCCATGTAGTGTGTTCAATTATCAAACTGTTTTAAAATATATTATTTTATATTAAAATATAGTACCCAATTAATTTCTTTTTGCGAAAACTAGAGATCGTGTGCATGCTATTATCTTAAGAATAACAAAAAAAAAAAGTTTGTGTGGCCACTTGAGAGAAAAGGGAAACTATGTGGTTCCGTTTTAGCCTTATCGAGTTATCGTCATACATGAAATCGAATCTTACGATGTCAAGAAGCAAACAAAATTTCCCTTTATTCCCAATTCGACGAATAAGATTCTTGAAAAGTCAAGCTTGTGGCCAAGAAGATGGGTTTTATAGTAGAGTAGTCACGTGGTATATCCCAAAAAAAGATCTAAAACCAAAAAAAAAACCAAAACTGAAAGTCATAATTTTTGCTTTTTCTTCTTGCGAAGTTATTGGTGCATGGCCCTATTTTGATCTCAAGAGTCGTTATTCTTATATCACGATACAAGGTCATTATCAATTTCAATGTACGTGATTCACGTACCCACACATACTGACATACACACACACATATTATATATATATATATATAAGTATTTTTGTTAAAGACGTACCGACACATATATATGTACGTGATATGCTAAATCACATCTAATTCCGCAACATGCCCGTACTATCCTTTAACATGGAATATATATGTAACAATCCAACGAAGGTCATTATATGGTAGAATCAAATTCTTTACACACTCTGTTGTTTTAATGGTTAGAAACGTCAATTTTCTATCATGAGTTGATAAATCACTACCACAATTTTTTGTAGAGGAATGGTGAATAATTTAATGATGCATTTATCCTGTTTTAAATTTTTATTTAAATTGTTAATTGATTTTTCATAAGATCCATATCATAAATTTACACAATTTGTAGCAAATATTTTCATTTTTACTAACTAATTAAATCACACCTAACTTTATTACTGACAAATAAGCCTTGTTAGCTAGTAACAGCCGCATATTAGTGTAAGAATTTCTACAAAAATGTTATACGCATATTTTTTTTTTTCTTGACATCAACATTCTAAAAATTATACGCATCTATCGAGGTCTTAGAGCATCATTATCCCTGATACCTCAAATGGGTTTCTTAACAATATTTTATTACTAAATTTAGATTAGGAAACATTCTTAAGAAATTTAATGGTTTTAATGGTGCATTGCTAAAACTTTATTGGGTTTCTTATAAAAAAAATGGTTTTGAATAAATATGTTTTATTTATGACAAATATAATTATTTGATAACAACATTCATAACATTAACACAATTGATACATAAATTTGATTATTAAATAAAACATTAACATATTCATACTTATTGCACAGGTTTTCATAAGTTTGATCAAAAACATTTTGGAAAGTTTGATTAAAAGAATCATAGAAATATTGATTAAAAGCATCATCAAGTGATCCTTCATTATTGTTATTGGATGATGAAGCCATAATAACAATGGAAATAGAAGAAGAAGAATAGAAGAAGAACAAGAATAGAAACGATTAAGAAAATAAGAGAAATATTTTGGAGAAGATGATATAGAGAACAACAATAGAAGAAGAAGACTGAGATATGTTTGTTTCCTCAAACCGTTTATTGCCAATATACATGGTGTAACAGCTGTATCACCTTCTTCCCTCATTAAGTGAATACCATGTAGTAAAGTCATTATCTTCAAGACCAACATGAAGAAAACGCTGTGCACCTGAAAAAACAGAGTCTTCAAGTTAGAAAACAACAAAAAGGCAAAGACAAACACAATCAAGATCAGATAGAGACCCAGGAAAAATGATGAAATAAAGAAAAAAACAAACCTTATTAAAATGTTCATAATGTCTGTTTCCTAATCCAAAAACTACATACTTCAGGTTCTTGTGCCACTCTCCTCTATCGTTGCCCTGTAAATACAAGTAACAACATCAGAAACAAGAAAAGAGAACCCACAAGTTACAATAAAAAAAATGGAGCCAAGCAAAGCAAAAAGATTAACCTCGGTGAACCATTTCTAAAATCTCACCGCATTAACTGTTACCTTACGTTCTACATATCTGTTAGTCAAGCAAAACACATCGGTTAAGCTTCAAAAAAACACACATCAACTCACAAATCAGCACATCGGTTAAGCTTGATCAAATCAGCACTTTGGTTAAACATATCGTATCCAATCAGCAAATCAGCACTTTGATTACACTTATACAGCACATACAACAATCTAAATCAAGCTTGATAAAAAAAAAAAAACAAAGATTAATAATAGAATTGGATATGATTTACCGTAGAAATCATTTTGGAAATCCTCAACCTCTGATGCATCCACCGAGGCTTTGAGGGAAGGAGGAGAAGAGGATTGGAAGTGGAGAGGGATCGAAACAGCTGCCGTCAGAGATACATGCAACCGCGGCGGAGAATCCAAATAGACGGAGATACATGCGGTGGGAGTTTCCGATGCCTCCACCGAAGCGATGATTTCATCATCGGGGTCTCGCAAATCGAACGGTTGCGCCGGAGATTTGACGGAGGAGCAGAGTCTGGTTCTTCGTCGGAGGAGAAGAACATTGATGTTTGAAATTTCGAGAATGTGTAAAACAAAGAGAAATAAACCAATACTCTTATGCCACATTGCAATAAGGAACGCTCTTTCTTGATCCTAAATAAGGATCGACTTCTGCTCTTTACACTCATTTTCTTAATTTTTTGTTTTTTTAATTGCTTAAGAAACCAACATCGAAACCGCGATATTGATGCTCTTAAGGCTTGACATTCCGTATGAATTAAATACAGATCAAATAAATTTTTTTTTTTTTGAGTTTTCAGATCAAATAAATTGTAACCATTTCTTCCTTTCGTAGCTATAATTATATGATAATAACGTCTACATGCAAGCTAAACGATTTTGAATTTTTAGTATAGTAAGTTTTGCGTTTCGTCATCTGCTATGTGAAGTATTCTCTATAGTTCATCTAATAGTTTGAACCGACCATTATTGAATGAGTGCGTAAGACATCTGGTTATAAGTGAAATTGCATCAACTCCAAAAAACTATAATTTTTTTTTTAAATGTATATATTAACTTTTTTGTCTCCAAAAAACAGTCGATCCACAGCTTTCTTATAAGGGAATTCAACTGGCAGTAGTTTTGATAGCAAACGCAACCGCTATTTCTTCCCAGTTATTTTCTATCAAAGAGTGTAAGTTTATTGGTCGTTCTTGTCCTAAAATGTGGTCAAAATTGATTTAGAATACTTGTCAGCGACTCATCGTAATTAACTTAAAAGTATATATAATATTCCTCCCCTATAATATATTTCGTCCAATTTTTAAACTATTATGTATTAGAGCATGTTATGATTAAATTAATTAATATACTCTATTCCTTATTTCAAGAAGTAAAAGTAATCACGTTTCAGTCACATACTCACATGTGTACATTTCGGAGATGCATGCCTGCGTGATATAAAAAATATATAACTAACTATAAACATAGCAAAAATCAAACGGTTGCTGATTTTATTATAATAAATTATTCCCAAAGTTTACAAAATAAGTACCCGCATAATCTATCTGTTTAAAACTTAGATAGACATAGCATTAACTCATACATAGTTTCAGATTATTACATAATTAAAGCCATAATGCACCAACGCGCTTAAGCATTGGAAGGAGAGAGCGATTAAGGTGAAGACTCATGACTTGATTGGCTCCACCAACGAGCTGTCCTCCTATGAACACCACCGGTACGGTTGGGCTGCAGCCAAGCTGAGCCAAAGCTTGCTCTATCTCTTTTCCTCTGTTGATCTCGTCGAGCTCATAGATTGTTGGATTCACGCCAAAGTCTAAGAAGAGAGTCTTGATTGTGTGAGACATGCAGCAAGAGTTCTTGCTAAAGATCACTACCGACTTCTCGGAGATCATCTTCTGTAGCTTATCCATTGGTGTTATAATGTCAAAGATTGTTCGAAAAGCAACTCGTGGAGGATGAAAGTAGTTGTGTTTTGATTGAAATTTAAATTCCAGAGAACTTAAAGAGATCGGAGATATTTGGGTAAAGATGCGAGGTGACTTTGAGTTAATGTGTTTGATGTAGTGAATGGTCTAGAAGTGTCCTTTATATAGCCTTCTGAGGTACGTAAGCTTTCATATTTTGCCAGTTTAAATTTAATGAAACCTTTTTCTAAGAGAATCAACTTTAGCACATATAAAGTATCCAAATATATAAAAATATATTGAAAAGAAAAATATAGAGTATTTGAAAGAAAAGAATTAGGAGGTTCATTCTTCTTGCCTTTGTGCCTCTTACAGCTAGAGAATAAAAAAAGTGTAACTATCAATTAATTGAGTAAAACGTACAGATACATAATCTAATCGATCAGATGTGACTTGGTGGAATATTTGATACGGACGAACCATGTCATGTCTTGATGCCTTCTATTTAATTTTTCAGTGTCAAAAGACATATTTATCGCATTAATGCATATTTATCTTTTAAATTTCCCCAAAATTTGGGGTTGGGATTTTTGAATTGTTATATATACAATCAACTTTAGGGGTGTTAGCTTTGGATAAACTAAACTAATTTGGTATAGAAAGAAAAAAAAAAGCGATAATAAAACTGAAAATGATTTTGATTTCAGTTGAAAAAATTAGCTTTTAATTAACCAAAAAAAAATCATAGTTTAAACGAAATCCAACTCTCTTTTTCCCAAAACGAAATCAAATAAAAAAAATAGAAAAGTTTAATCAAAATTAGTTCTTTTGAAATTAAAAGGATAAAAAATTAGTTCTTTTGAAATTAAAAAGAAGCAGTTAGATATTGTGAGTGCTGCTAATTAAGTAAATGAATAATTTTTGTTTTGGAAAAAATATTTAACTGGAATGATATGTTTTTTATAACTTACATGCTATTTAATGTTATTTAATGTAATAGCATGTTATTATAAGAAAACATAGTGCTATTCTATAAAACATCATCTTACTCAGAAAAATAACACCAATCGTTTGTGTGTTTTTGTTTTTTTGTATTTTTTTGTTTTTTGATTAAAAGAACATAGTGACCTCCGTCCTCTGCGAAGACTCGAGATCGTATGGTATATCTCCAGAATAATCTTCTTCTTCTTTTTCTCTATATCGTGCTATACGTGGCTCTAGCCTCACTTACAATTACAACGTTTTTTTTTTCATAAAATTTCGTCATAATCATTTTGGGAATAAAGCTAAATTTTGTATGATTCTTGACATCGTAGAGATTCGATCTCACTCCACGAGGATAAGGCTCACCACTGGAACAAAAGTCAATTCTTTTTTTTTCTCTCTCTATATCTTGACGTAAGGTGGCTTTAACTGTGATCCGGAGAGTCGTTATTCGCATATACAAATTACAATGTGTTTCTTACGTAAAACACATATATTATCGCAGAGCATCCAATTCCAGAGCTAATTTGTACCCTTGATTGTATAAACATTGCTTCAACAATCTTAGTTTTATTTTTATCTCGCTCACTTATTGGACGTGTACATTCTCAATTCTTTGAACTGCATGCAACATAATGGTTTATGGATTCAAAAAAAAATAAAAATAAAAATAAAAAAGGTCATGGGCTTATAAACATAAGGCAAATTTCATGAGTAAAACATGAAGCTTTAGATTGGTTTAAATTTAACCAGAAATGTTAAAAGCGGATCGATTAAGTGAATGGCGAAGATCTTATGATATAGTTAATTAGTCATCACATTCTTTTATGAAAATTGTTTCAATTTGAAAGCAATTATTTACACTTGATACAATTAATACCGTCAATAAAAAAAAAATTGAAGTAAAAATTTAACCTCTGGCATGACTTATAGCAAAATATTTCACCTCTGATTTTAATTTCGTATGTATTGGAGCATGATATGCATTAACCGTACATAAGGGCTGAAAAATATTATTCAATGCATGTTTAAACAGTTTCTTTACCCGTACATACAATATTTTTCAGTATTTATAAAAGTATGTAGATATAATCATCGGAAAGGAGACGTCGTCCAACATTAGCTGATATGATTGTAAAATGTTCCCACACGTTACAAAATATTTCAAAACTTATAATCTATCCTCTACAAAATTAGCTCTCAAGTCTCAATCTACCCTTTCAAAACTTAATAGAAAAAGTCACAAAACATTCGAACATTAGATATATAATTTTTCTTTTTTAGTCTTTGATTTATAATAATATTTATGAAACCTACGTTTTACGTATGTATCTCTCTGAATCAAAGCCATAACGCCCCAACGCGCTTAAGCATTGGAACGAGAGAGCGATTGAGATGAAGACTCATGACTTGGTTGGCTCCACCTACGAGCTGCCCTCCTATGAAAACCACCGGAACAGTTGGGCTGCAGCCGAGTTGAGCCAATGCTTGCTCTATCTCCTGTCCTCTGTTGGTTTCGTCGAGCTCATAGATCGTGGGGTTTACGCCAAAGTCTAAGAAGAGAGTCTTGATTGTATGAGACATGCAGCACAAGTTCTTGCTAAAGATCACTACCGACTTCTCGGATCATCTTCTGTAGCTTATCCATTAGTGTTATAATGTGAAAGTTTGTTCCAAAAGCGGCTTGCAAATGATGAAAAGTGGTGCCTTTAGATCAAAATTGTAGATTAGGGGTGAAAATTCCAAGCTAGAGAACGTATAGAGAGATGGCTATATCTTTGGTGAAGATGAGAAGTAACTCTGAATTTGATGTTTTTGATGAAGTAAATGGTCAATAAGGGTCCATTATATATAGCTCTCTTAGGTACGTAAGGTTTCATACAATGGATTAAATGTAATGAAAATCTTTTTTTAAAGAGAATCAACTTTAGCTTTTGTGCCTCTTGCAGCTAGAGAATAAAAAGCGTAACTATCAATTAATTGGGTAAAACGTACAGATAACAAAATCTCTTAGGTCGGATGTGAGGAATATTTATTACTGACGAACCAAGTCATATCTTGGTACATATACTTTCTTCTATCACATAAATGCATACATATAGTACTTATCACATAAACCAGAGTGGACAATTAAAAAATTATTTATATAATAGTTTAAAACTTAATAAGTTACACAAATGATAAAGTACATATAGTTTTCAATTTTTTTTTTTATAAAACCAAACTAAAATGAAAGAGTATATTGCCAAGAAAAAAAATTAGTAGTGACAAATGTGGATACTTATAAATTGTTATCATGTAAACTATTATGATCTGAGAAATGGAAAATTTTGTTTTGTAGGATTCGATTATTTTAAGCCTGGACCCCAATTTCGGATGGATGATCCAGATTTTGGATAGATTACTCGAATAAGACTGGCTGGATTGGTAAATTACAAAATATTTTAAGGGTGTAAATGTATTTGAACTTTTTTTCGACTTAGAAAAAATCATATGCACTTCACTTTCTTTTTAAACGGGTTATTGAGAATTTAGGTCATCAGAATCCGAGAACTTAATTCGCAATGTTCTTCTGCAGAAAGCTCTGATCCAGAATTAGAAAGCCCTGAGGATCGAGGGACAAATCGACAAACTAATTATAAGTCTCTTATCTTGGTCAATATTTACCATTTTGTTTTGTATGTGGTTGTCTTTGTTGTGGGATTCTTTAACTTTCCGTAGATTTAATGGTTTTTTGTAGAGTTCTCTCTATATTTGAAGTTAGATTTTGTTGTAATGGAATTTTGATTGGCATTGTGAATTTTTTGTGCAGAAAGCTCGGATCACGATTTAGCTTTCACGAATTTAGATCGAAGAACAAATGTAAGTTTCTTCATCTTTGGTCAATCTTTCTCAAAATCGAAGATCTGCTCCATATTTGGTTTACTTTATTCTGGTTTTCTTGGGTTTTTCTCTGTTTTACGAGTTCCACATATTTAACAATAGTAGATTCTGGTTACAATTGATGTTGAGTTAAATAACTTGCAAAGTTTTTTCTCTGAATTTAGTAGTTTTTTTTTTGCTATTGTTATGTATCTCTTTAGATTTGGAGTCAAACAATAAAAAAATTTCTGGTTGTTCTGATTAGTGTTGTGGTTTTGTTCTGTGCAATTGTTACTGTAATTATCGGTGAAATATGGTTTTGAACAACAATCATAGTTTGGGAGTTGCAGCTCTCATCAATTATATACAGGCAAACAACAAAGCAACTGTCGATGTAGTTGGTAACTCAAGTAACCCAGAAGCTAAACTCAATGGTTCGCATATCAGTATGGCTGTGGAGGCTATGAGGTTTGATTTCACGCGTGAGGGAACTGCCCACTTGTTGGAAGAACATTCTAAAGATAAGGATGTAATCGGGACAGACCCACTTCTACGAATGCAAAGGATAAGACACAAGATTAGTTGATCATAACAAACACAGAAGCCCAACAAGAAGAAGGTGCTATGGGCCGTCCAAGTGTGAAGCCTACTACGATGACAAACTCTTCCTAGCTGAAACTATCCAGCTGTTACCACTAATGTGCAGCGGTAACTGAGAAAAAATGACAAAACGCGAATCCAGTCAAGCTGAACTTCGTACGGGAAATACACCTCACTGAATCTTGTTATGTAACAGATTTGATGTCTCGGATTGTGAGCTCTCATGTGACAGACATGATGCTTGTCACTCCGATCCTCACCTTTTGCTTTTCTGCTTTTCTCATTTCTTCTCCGTATAACCATTGTAATGCGCTGGGTTTAAGTTTAAGTAATAAGGTTGAATAAAGTTATTTTCTTCCTTTTGTTTTTCAAACGCTTCCATGGTATCAGAGTCTCACGGTTCAAAGAATTCACAATGCCAATCAAAATTCCACCTATACTAAATTCGTGAATGGTGAATTTCCCGTACGAAGACCAGCTTGAATTCCTGTGACTGGAGATGAAACAGGGGGTGATTGTGGTGTTGGGTCATCACCCATACTAAATTCGTGAATGGTGATTTTTTTCCGATCACTCATGTTGGTTCAGCAGTTCTTCCGAGTTTACAAGGTAATTTACCACTTGAGGATATTTTAGTATGTTCAGGAATTGCAAAATCTCTCTTATCTCCTTCAAAACTCACTGCTGACTACCTTTGTGCC